TAGACAATGAGCCCGAAACTTATGAGGAGGCTATTGAAGGAAAAAATGCAACGCATTGGCTTTTAGCCATGGAAGATGAAATGCTTTCATTAACTAAAAATAAGACCTGGATTTTGGTAAATAAACCTAAACGGGAGAGAATCATTGACTACAAATGAGTCTATAAGATAAAGGAAGGTGATCAAAAGGATGGAAATGTTAGGTTCAAGGCCAGCTTAGTTGCTAGAGACTTTAACCAAAGAGAAGGAATTGACTATAATGAAATTTTTTCCCCTGTAGTCAAGTATACCTCTATAAGAATCTTACTTGCTCTTGTTTCACATTTTAATTTTGATTTAGAACAACTAGATGTGAAAACTGTTTTTTTCTATGGAAATTTAGATGAAAAGATTTATATGACCCAATATAAAGGCTTTGAACAGAAAGACAAAGAAAACTGTGTTTATCTTTTACAGAAATCTCTCTATGACTTGGAACAAGCCCCCAGGCAATGATACATTAGGTTTGATACTTTTATTAAGGGCCTTGATTTTAATAGAGGAGAATATGATCCTTGCTTTTATTATAAAGGAAATGGAAGACCTAATTTTTGTTATCTTTTGTTATATGTTGATGATATGTTACTTGTTGGATGTGATACAACTGAGATAAACAACATTAAATAAAAGTTAAAACAGGAATTTGAAATGAAAGACTTAGGTTGTGTCGAGAGGATTTTAGGAATGGAAATTAGGAGAAATAGAAATAATCACAATCTGTTTCCCACTCAACAATCATATATTTCAAAAATATTACGCAAATTTTCTATGAATGAAGCCATAGAAGTCACCTTACCTTTAGGCAGCCATTTTAAATTTTCTATAGAGCAGTGCCCTAAAACTAAAACAGAAAGAAATAGAGTAGAGAAGGTGCCTTATGCAAATGCTGTTAGATCAATTATGTATATCATGGTTTGTACCAGACCTAATCTTGCTTTTGCTATTAGTGTATTAAGTAGATACATGAGTAATCCACATGAATGTCATTGGGAAGCAATGAAATGGTTGTTAAGGTATTTAAAGGGGACATCACACTTAGGATTAATGTTTATCGAAAGAAAAACGAGAATAAAACTTAAAGATTATGTTGATTCAGACTTTGCTGGTAACTGTGACAATAGGAAATCAATATCTGCATATGTTTTTTTACATTAAATGATACTTGCATAAGCTAGAAATCACAACTGCAAAAATTGGTTGCCCTATCATCAACAGAGGTTGAGTACATTGCAGCTATAGATGCTGTAAAGGAAGGGATCTGGGTGAAAAATCTGTTAAATTAAATTAGTTTTCCTGATGATAATGCTACTATATTTTCTTACAGTCAATCAGCTATACATCTTAGTAGAAATCCAATTTTTCATGATAGAACTAAACATATAGATGTGAAATTTCATTTCATAAGGGATATCATAGAAAAAGAAATCATAAAGATAGAAAAGATTTTTACTTAGTGTAATCCAGCTGATATGGGAACAAAAACACTTCCTTTACATAAATTTAGGGATTGCTTAAATATGCTAAATATTGTAACTGATTAAAGTTTTCTTTTGTAGGTATTTAGAGCAAATGAAATCTAAAGGAATAGTTATCCTCTAATCCACATGAAACCCATAAATGTCAAGTAAGGTGGAGATTGTTGAATAATGCTACACATTTCTGTGTTTTGAAGCCCAATTCTAGTGGCCCTTTTAAATGGAATGTGGACCCGATTTTGGCCCTTTGTGCACATCTCGTGTTACTTAAAAACACGCCTTTGATAAATGGTTGAGATTGTGATACTTGTTGTCGGCTGGACCGTTTGATGCAAGTGACCTTTTATATACCCTAACTTTTCCTTTTCCGAGGCATAATTCGAGAGACTTCTAGGGTTTCAATGAGTTTTGTTCTCTGTTTGTCCTCTCTTTGAAAACTCTTGATTTTCATCTGTAATCTTTTAGTTCTAGGTATTCTTGATGAGATCTAGTATAGATTACAGTGTTCTTGTGATGATTATACTCACTGATTGAGTATTTGGTATAGGTTACTTTGGTGTAATCTGCGTGAGGAAGAATTCATGTGTTTTCAAATCTGAGGGCTAGATCTTTTAGATCTCTTGTGCTGTAATATTCTTAAACACTTATATTTTTGTTGGTTCCAGTGGATTGGAACAATAAGCACTTAAGGTGGATGCTCAACGTGGTTATTAGCCCTTTGTAGGTGAACATCCAGGCCTAAAGGTGAAAAATCTCGGTGTTCTTTTATTTTTTGTTGCTGCTTTGATTACTTTTGGGACTGGAAATACCTAGACAAACTAAACTGTCAAACCAGGATTTTCTTTAATCAAATTAACAAATACGTGATAGTAACATTCAATTTAATGAGATGATTGTACCAAATATATATTTTCTAGGACTCGTCTAAAGTTTCGATAGAAGTTCAATAAACTTCGATGTTTCAAACGCATATGTTACCACCTACCATTACAAGACTCTTAAACAACTTCAAAATCCCATACGCTTCCAACTAGAGAGAAAATGGTAAGTACAAAGATTAAATGGGCCTATGGAAAAATCAGGCACAATTTATATTTGTGGAAAAATCAGGTTTCTGTCTTTTTGCTGAGTAATGTTATTTACAGGCGCTCACTATTGGAGTCACCCTATGTGGCATATATGTGACGATTAGTAATTTGATATATTAATGTGATAGTTCTTTATTACCTTATGCAATAAATCACTAACCGTCACATGTATACCACATAGGGCGATTGTGATGATGACTGATTGTAAATAGCATTATTCATTTCTCATTTATTATACATTTTTTATTTTAAAAAGGCCATTAAAATGGTCACATTGTTCTTTGTCTTGGTCACAATAACAAAAATTTCTCATCCCAAATGTGTGTTATTGTTCCTGAATTTGAGCTGTGTCCACGTTCAGTATTGAGATTCGTGCTATTTGGGTATAATTATGTTACGTGTTTGCATACTCAGGCAACCTACCGGGCCCCACAGCCAACTCATGTCGAACCAGTAGCACTGAAGCCGAGGTGATTGGGATTTTCGAGACCCACAAACTGAGGTCCATAGAAGCCTAAGCCCATATATACTGAAGCCCCACATGTCGAGGCCTTGTTGGCCGAAGCTCTGTAGCCGAGGTAGCAACCTCCAAATCACAAAGCGGCATCTTCCATAGACACTTCTCCCAAGAGATCCTCTGCACAAAGATCTTACCTGAATGATTGATAGGGTGTCTGTCATGAATGTAAAGGTCATGTCTTGTCACTGATAGAGGCGGATCTGCTAATCAATAAATGTATAGCAAGTTAGGTGCGGCTGATGCCTACAATTTGACATGTAAATTGTTCGGATGAGGCCACGTGTATCCCGAACCAAGGGTCACGATCTAACTTATAACACTATAAATACTCCCCCATGTACCCCATACAAAGGCTAATGCTAGAATCAATACAAGGAACAACACTTTACTCAACTCTCTCTTATTATCTTGCAACATAATATGAGTTTACACATTTTTACATATACATTTACAAACATTGATTGGTAATTATTGTACAATCGATCTACGATCATCTCGTCGAATTTCGAACGTTCTCGTCCCACGTCGTTGAGCTACTCCCACGCCCTTGATCTGTCCGTTTTAGACCGTCCACGTGTCTTTGCGTGTTGGACTTTCGCTTACGTGTGCGCGGGTGGATCCGGCATCTGTTGGCAACATTTTTTGGGGTCAACAGATTGGCGCCGTCTGTGGAAAATCATACAATAAGCACGAACAACCTTATAGTGAAAACATATTGAAGAGGAACATTTAGGCGCCCCCTTAAAAAAGGATTTGTTCTTGAAAAAGAACAAGAGGAAGTCCCACAACTTAGCAAAAATCTGAAGTTCAAACATAGAAAATGAGTTCAAACGAAGACACGCCCCCCCAGAAGGGTAAGAGAAAATGTAGGTGTGCTCCCTCCAGCAGCTACCCCAATAACTCGGAACCGACTCCACCACGACCATAGACAAGGTGGAATGCGAATGATAGCCCGATTATCAAGAGAAATGGCCGCCATGGCAGCCAACATGAGAGATGTTGCTAGCCAGAACATGGCTATGAGGGAACTCATGGTCCAAATGCAAGGCCAAGGAGGCTTCCCTATTCCTCCATACGCCCCCCAAGGGCGCTACCAGTAAGAAGATGAAGTTCAAAATCAGAGAGTTGCATCGCCAGACTATAGCAAAGGTAGATGTCCATTTGAAAGGAAAATGGAAGTTGATGTTTCTTCCAACTACAGTTCTGGGCGACCCACCGAGGTCTCTTTGAACCATGATAACTTCCCACCTCCATATGACCAAAAGCAAAGACATAGGAGGTTAGATAGTGTATTTGACAGAATTAGCCCTACAAAACTGAGGCCCAGGGAACAACAGCCTCGCGAGCCTTGGACAAGGCCACAGCCTCCACCTCCTATGCCTCAACAGCCGGAAGAAAGGCATGAAAATACCTCCCGTGCTGCACCGCCTAGAAATAGGCGCCAAAGGAGGGAAGAGGAGGCTAGGAAACTTCCCGGAACCTCTCGCCAACCACCAAGGTTGAGGTCAAAGAAAACGATTCGGATGAGCAGCAGAGGTCCTGTGACTTGGACGATGATGATGATAACCTGCCATTCTCGAGGGAACTAAGGAGTACCCAGGTCCCAAACCACTATGTTATGCCCAAGATACCAAAGTATGACGGAAGAGGCGACCTTGAGAAGCACCTGAACACTTACAAAACTTACATGAGCCTAAGGCGAGCCACCCCAACTGTGAAATGCAAAGCTTTCCACTTAATACTTAGCGGAGCAGCTGAAATTTGGTATAGTAGGCTACCACCTAGAAATATAAGAAGTTGGCTCGAATTCAAGACCACCTTCTTGAAGAGGTTCGCTGTGAGCAAAGAGAGAGAGGCTCATATCCAACGCCTCTAAGACATGAGACAGGCACATGGAGAATCCCTGAAGAGCTTTCTATCACGCTTCACTGATGAGATGATGTACTGTGTGCAAGTCACCAACCGTGAGGCATTGTCTGCTCTGAGAGGAGGCCTGAACATGAACACCCTGTTTTGGAAGGATGTGCAAAATCAGGACCCCACCACCTACGACGCCCTGCTCGAGATGATGAGACGGGAGATCATCAATGGAGAATTGATTGAGCATAGGAATAGGGCAAGTAGAGGCCTCCCAGCTCCGCAAATACAGCGTGCTAGAGGGCCAACCTACCACTTGATGGATTACCAAATGAACCAAGCCGGAAATGAGAGTTCTGGGCAAGCACTTGCCACCACCACTCTTAACGCAGTCCCGACCTTGGCATATGAGGATATCAACAAGTCACTGACACCTAGCAGATGGGAACTCCGTAAGGATCCCGCAGGGGGAGAGGCCGAGGCTTGCGTTTGGGACTTAGAAATAGGTCAAATCCAAACCCCCCGATACTGCATATACCATCGGTCCTATGGCCACAACACAGTAAATTGTCAAGACTATGCTCATTGTACCCAACAGGAACCCCTCAGGGATAAAAATGAATCACCTCAGATTAATAGGCCCCCACCTAGGTATGACAACCGACCTGGGCGTGAAGAGGCTACTCCCCGTCAAAGGGAGGTTTCCCCACGACGAAGGGAACACGATGCAAAGAAGCTCAGGAAAACATGCAGACACCGAAGAAGTCGACAAACTCAGGATGAGGCCCCCTATCCACGAGATGGATACCATTTTGGAGGCCCATATGTAGGCGATGAAATGCGGAATGCTAAAATGAACTATGCTCGTGAGGCCAGACGCCCCCCGCTTACCAGCTATATTGTGGGCCACAGCTCCCAAAGGGATCAAGTTCCACCTATTGTCTTCACCCAGGAGGACGTTGAAGGGGTTTACTACCCCCACTGCGATGCACTTGTGGTGAGAGTGGTCATAGCCCGAGATGGGCTCAAACGAATGCTAGTTGACAACGGTAGTTCTGTCAACATCCTATTCGGGTCCACCTTCGACATAATGATACTGGACCATGAGTTGACGCCCACCACTACTCCATTGTACGGATTTACCGGAGATAGCATCACTCAAAGAGGAAAGATCACCCTTGCAGTGGAGATGAGGGAGCCTTCCCAAACCGTAATGAACTTTATGGAGTTCCTCATTATTGACAGTCGATCGGTCTACCACAGAGTAATGGGTTGGCCAACTTTAAAGGAATTGTGAGCCATCACCTCCATCCACCACCTATGCATGAAATTTCTGATGAAAAATGGGGTGGCAACGGTGAGAGGCGACCAAAGAGGCTCGAGAGAGTGCTATCTACGCTCCATCAGAAAGGTAGAGCCCCGGGACGTCCATGTGATTATCACCGACATAGTCATGGCTGATGTCCTAGGTGATGCTCCCTCCGAACTGGAAGATGTGGAAATGATCGACGCACCACCCATGCCAGGAATATTGGTTATCGATGAGATTGACCCCGCATAATTGAGCACGAACCTCAAGTATCCCCAGTTGAGGAGGTGGACCCCCGAGACCCATCCAAATTGTTATGGGTTGGCCAACTTTAAAGGAATTGTGAGCCATCACCTCCATCCACCACCTATGCATGAAATTTCTGATGAAAAATGGGGTGGCAACGGTGAGAGGCGACCAAAGAGGCTCGAGAGAGTGCTATCTACGCTCCATCAGAAAGGTAGAGCCCCGGGACGTCCATGTGATTATCACCGACATAGTCATGGCTGATGTCCTAGGTGATGCTCCCTCCGAACTGGAAGATGTGGAAATGATCGACGCACCACCCATGCCAGGAATATTGGTTATCGATGAGATTGACCCCGCATAATTGAGCACGAACCTCAAGTATCCCCAGTTGAGGAGGTGGACCCCCGAGACCCATCCAAATTGTTGAAAGTGGGAAAAGGCTTGTCCAACAGTTTGAAAGAAAAGATCAAGGATTTCCTAAGTAGGAACCTTGATGTCTTTGCTTGGAGGTATGAGGACATGGTAGGCATAGACCCCAAGGTTAGTTGCAACCACATGAAAATTGATCCTAAGGTTTCCCTGTATAGACAAAAGAGAAGAGCCCTTAACCCTGAGAGTTATGAGGCCCTGAAGGAAGAAGTTCAGAAGCTCATCCAAAAATGGCTTCATCAAGGAGGCCACCTATCTGAGATAGGTCTCCAACCCAATTTTAGTGAAGAAACACAACAGAAAGTGGAGAGTATGCATTGATTTCACTAACCTCAACAAAGCTTGCCGGAAAGACAGCTTTTCACTCCCAAGAATTGAACAACTGGTAGATTCCATGGCTGGGCATGAGTTTTTGAGCTTCATGGATGCATACTCCGGCTACAACCAAATTCTCTTGCACCCGGCCGATGAGGAACACGCCTCTTTTATTATAGACAGAGGCATTTACTGCTATAAGTTGATACCCTTCGGGTTGAAAAACGTCGGGGCCATATACCAAAGGCTCGTCAACAAAATGTTTGTGGACCTCATCGGCAAGACAATGGAGGTCTATATAGATGACATGCTTGTGAAGAGTATGGAAGCTGGGGACCACGTGACGCACCTCAACAACACCTTCCAAATCTTAAGAAGATATAGGATGAGACTCAACCCCCTCAAGTGCGCTTTCGGGGTTGCCTCCAGAAAGTTCTTAGGATACATGGTTAACCAACGTGGAATTGAAGCCAAGACTGAGAAGATTAAGGCCCTACTCAAGATGAGGTCCTCCCAAAAGCCAAAAGAGGTACAAAGCTTGACTGGGCGAGTGGCCGCACTTAGTCGCTTCGTCTCCAAAGCTATAGACAAATGCCTCCCATTTTTCAAAGTGTTGAAAACTGGGAAGAAGTTTCAATGGACCGAGAAATGTGAAGTGGCCTTCCAGCTCCTGAAAAGGCACCTAGGGTAGGCCCCCCTCCTCTCCAAACCGAATCCTAGTGAGATTCTTCAGCTATATCTGGCCGTCTCCAATGAGGCCATCAGTGTGGTTCTAATCCAAGAAGAAGGGACGACCCAACTCCCCGTATACTATACAAGTAAAGCACTACTATCGTCGAAAACCCGTTACCCCGATACGGAGAAGCTCGCTTTGGCCTTGATCACGGCTTCCAAGAAATTGAGGCCCTATTTCCAAGCCCACACCATACATGTGCTAACAAACTTTCCCCTGAGGCAGGTACTTCAAAAGCCCGATGCCTCAGGAAGATTATTGAAATGGGCTGTAGAGTTAAGCGAATTTGACATTGTATTCAAGGCTAGGGCGGCCATCAAGGGCCAATCCTTAGCTAATTTTGTGGCAGAATTTGCCAATTTACCCGAGGTGGATGAAATCATGAAAAATACTGAGCCCCCTACGTGGAACTTATTCGTGGATGGGTCGTTTGGGGACACCTGTTCAGGTGCCGGGGTTGTCCTCATCAGCCCAGAAGGTCACAAGCTGAACTCGGCTGTAAGGTTCGGGTTCAAGGCCACCAATAATGTGGTAGAATATGAGGCACTTCTTGCGAGCTTCAGATTAGCTAGAAAAATGTAAGTGAAGAGGCTACTTATCAGTAACGACTCCCAGCTGGTCGTTAGCCAGGTAAACTACAACTTCTCGGCCAGAGACAAAACCATGGCCTCTTACTTGAAAATGGTGATGAACCTCGTCCCATCATTTGAAAAGTTTGAGTTGATCCAGATCCCCGTGTTGAAAATGCACATGCAGACGCGCTCTCCACACTTGCAAGTAGCAAGGACTCCGAACTACTCACAATAATTCCAATAGAGCACCTCCTCATACCATCAACCGAGGCCCCTAATGTGATGTGGTTTGTCGGGACTCCTAACTGGATGCAGCCCATCGTGGCCTACCTAAAGGACCAAGTACTTCCCGCTAATAAGCATGAAGCTGACAAGCTAAGGAAGAGGTCAGTTCATTTTCTTTTCATTGATGATGTACTATACAAAAGGAGTTTATCCTCCCCACTCCTTCGATGCGTGGGAAAAGAAGAGGCTACCTACATTTTAAGGGAAGTCCACGAGGGAGTGTGCAGTAACCACTCTGGAGGTCTATCTTTGGCGTATAAAATACTGAGATAGGGGTACTATTAGCCTACCTTGCAAAAGGACGCCTTTCAGTTTGTACGAAAATGTGACAAATGCCAACGATTCTCTCCTATTCAAAGACAACCATCGCAAGATTTGACCGTGGTCTCCAGCCCTGGCCTTTCTCGAAATGGGGTGTAGACCTCATAGGCCCTCTACCAAAAGTCAGAGGAGGCGCGAGCTTTGCAATTGTGACCATTGATTACTTCACGAAGTTGGTTGAGGCTGAACCACTGGCAAAAATTACAGAGGCAAACACCTCCAAGTTCTTGTGGAAAAACATTTTATGCCGGTTCGAGATTCCCTACTCAATTATCTCAGACAATGGTAAACAGGTCGACAACAAGAAGGTCAAAAGTTTGTGTGAAGAATTTGGTATCAAGAAGCACTTTTCCACCCCCTCACCACTCACAAGCAAATGGCCAAGTTGAGGCTGTGAACAAGACAATCAAACATGCCCTGAAAAGGAAGCTTGATGTGTCAAAAGGGGCCTGGGTGAATGAGCTACCAAATGAGCTACCACAAGTGCTTTGGGAAATCCAAACCACAATGAGAACCCCCATAGGGGAAACACCTTTCCTCATGGCATACGGAACTGAAGCAATGAGCCCCATCGAAGTCGGACTTCCATCTCCCCGACATCTGCACTTCAGTGAAATAACAAATGATGAGCTCTGGAGGTTCAACCTCGACTTCATTGAGGAAAGAAGAGATGATGCCCAGCTGAAGCTCACCACATATCAAAAAAAGATAACGAAGTACTTCAACTCAAGGGTGAAGAAGAGGTCATTTTGAATCAACGACCTGGTCTTTAGGAGAGTCTTTCTCTCCTCCAAGGAACCAGGTACCGGTACCTTGGGTCAAAATTGGGAAGGCCCGTATAGAATCAAAGAAGAGATCTGACCTGGGACATACTAGATTGAGGACATGGACAGCAAGGCACAACCTCGTCCATGGAACATTGAGCACCTTCGAATCTATTATCAATGAATGTACTACCTCGTTGGATGATCTTTCCCAGCTCATGTAATATTTCCATAATTCAATCAAATTTTCCATGATTGAACTCATCTCGCACTACGTCGTCACCTTGGAATAGAGGTCAGTACCCCATCTCTGGGACACCTCGCCTGAACTCCGAGGCTCACATCACTTACCTCCCTTTGGCGAGGCTGAACGTCACTGGGAGAAGTCTCAACATGGATGAACCATCCACCATATTAGGAAACGTCGTCACCTCGGAGGAGATGTCAACGTCCCATCTCTGGGCCACCTCGCTTGAACTCCGAGGCTCATACACTTGCCTCCCTTTGACGAGGCTAAACGCCACTGGGAGAAGGCTCAACATGGATGAACCATCCACCATATTGGGAAGCGTCGTCACCTCAAAGGAGAGGTCAGCATCCCATCTCTGGACCACCTCGCTTGAACTCCGAGACTCACGCCACTTGCTTCCCTTTGGCGAGGCTGAACGCCGATGGAGAAGCCTCAACATGGATGAACCATCCACCATGTAAGGAAGCGTCGTCACCTCGGAGGAGATGTCAGCGTCCCATCTCTGGGCTACCTCGCTTGAATTTCGAGGTTCACGCACTTGTCTCCCTTTGGCGAGGCTGAACGTCACTGGGAGAAGCATCAACATGGATGAACCATCCACCATGTTGGGAAGCGTAGTCACCTCGGAGGAGAGGTAGCGTCCCATCTCTGGGCCACCTCGCTTGAACTCCGAGGCTCACGCCACTTGCCTCCCTTTGGCGAGGCTAAACACCACTGGAAGAAGTCTCAACATGGATGAACCATCCACCATGTTGGGAAGCGTCGTCACCTCAGAGGAGAGGTCAGCATCCCATCTCTGGGCTACCTCACTTGAACTTCGAGGCTCACGCCACTTGCCTCCTTTTGGCGAGGCTGAACGCCACTGGGAGAAACCTCAACATGGATGAAACATCGACCATGTTGGGAAGCGTCGTCACCTCGGATGAGAGGTAGCGTCCCATCTCTGGGCCACCTCGCTTGAACTCCGAGGCTCACGCCACTTGCCTCCCTTTGGCGAGGCTAAACACCACTGGGAGAAGCCTCAACATGGATGAACCATCCACCATGTTGGGAAGCGTCGTCATCTCAGA